TTGACTTAGAGCTTTTCCTTTCTTTTCTTGGTCTTTCTGATTCTGGGTGTTACATATATAAAGTGAGAATTTAGTTTTATTACTTTAGTTTAATACTTTTAACGTTGAACATGTATAGTATAAACCCTTTCGATAACTCCACACTCAAAATGAAAAGAGGCGGTGAGGTGGTAATCAATGAGCTTTTAAAAACTAACCTCACTAAAAATCTAAAAGACATCCTTAAACATCTCTTATAGCACTAGAGCATGTGAGCTTAGTCATGGTTCGACTGATAATGTTTTAATTAAATATGTAAGGACACATGTAATTATGTCATCATTATAGTAATCATAATATATTATAAATTCAAATCTTTTAAATTTATTCCTTATTAAATATTCAAATTTAATTCTCTATTAAATAATATTGAAAGTTTTAAATTAAATATTTAAATTTAAATTCATTATAAATAATATTTAAAACTTAAATATTCAAAATTTAAATATAATTAAGATAATGTTTATAATTAAGAGACTTATCAGTTCATAATTATCTTAAATATTCAAACTTAATTAACTATTAAATAATAATTAAAATTCGAAATAATTTAAATTTTCAAATTTAAATCTTATTTAAATCACATTTAAAATTAATGTGCTTATCCAAATCGAAGAAGTCAGTAAGTTTTCCGACGGTTGGTGTCGTGACTTACAGACAATTTTTTTTTGTTATTCATATTAACAGTGCATATTATTACAACCAGACTCTGATACAACTGTTTGGAATTGATACAATCTATACACAGTCGTTTGAGAAGTGTATTAAAACATTTAAACTCTATGTATACATGCATCCTAAGGATCTAATTTTTACCATAATAACAATTTACTTTAAATAAGAAAGATACTAATCTCTTGATCTTCTTGGTCTCTTGATTGACATCTCGTGACAACCATAATTGCAAGTACAACGAGGACCCAAACCAGGAATCCCTCTAGTGGAATCACACCCAAAACCCCAACTAGAAAAATGAACTTTAAGAGAGAGGTTGTATTTCGAAAATCACAATAACCCTAGAAGGGTTATTGATTTCGTAGATACAAGCGAGAGGGGATAGTTGGACAAAAAATTAAGAGGCAAGGAGTGTCAGGGTTTGACCCCTAACACCTTATTTATTGTCTCTAGTTGAATTCAAATTTATAAAGATGATCCTTATCCCTATTTGAATCATTCCATATCCTTTTATCCTTGGATAAAATCGATCTCTTCTGTATTGTAGAAGGTTCTGGATTATTCCAATTAATTACTAATGAATTAATTAATATTCAACCCATTTAATTAATTAAAAATATTTAATTAATTGAAAAATAACTTCTAATTAAATCATTAATTCTTTACTAAATTAATAACTTATTTCTTATAATTTCTTATTGATTGATTAGATTATGAATGCAGCTCAAAAATATCATATTATTATTAAAAAATATTACGAATTAATTAATGACCTTAGACACTCACAATTGGAAAGGGAGGAAAACATGTCCAAATAATGTCTAGGTTGAAAGGATTTTAGGGCCAAGAGGCCAATTGGAACCAAAACGGGACAACAATCCTATGGTTTTGCTGTTTAATTTTATGTTTGGTAAAGGCTAGGTGGGCTTCTTATATATTTGGTTCGTGGTCTAACTTGTTTGTAGGGTGTTCGTCTTGAACCGTATATTACACTTTCCAAGAATAAAATAAAGGAAAAAAATACAATTCGAAAACTACTTGCAACATTTTGCAAAATCATTAACACAAAAAACATACTTTAATGGGAAAAACAAATCAAAACGACCAAGAACATATTCAACACATAAAAATAATTCCGAGCTAGAGCAACACATTTAACCCTATAACAAAATAAATTTGTTAATAATATTGTTTTTACTTTTTACATTCATATGTAAAAACAGCTACGTAAATAGTTTTTCTAAAAGTAAAATTATTCAAAAAGTAAAATTATTCAAACCATCACAAGGTTATAAAACAATTTTAATAAATTAAATTGTTTTGTTTATTATTTTCAAGAAACATTCAAGAAAAAACAAAACAAAATAATAGTGTGATCTAGTGTTCTCGAAAAGTGACTCTGGTACCACTATAAGATAAATGACTATACAATTGATTAGGGTGAACATATTAACAGAAAAATCGAACCAAAATCAAATTAACCGAAATAACCGAACCATTTTAGTCAAACCATTAATAAAAAAGATGGTGCGGTTTCTATTTTTGATTAACCAAATACATATGGTTTGGTTATAGTTTTCATCCACAGCCGAACCGAACCAATAATATTAATAAATGTTTTTAATATAATATAATATTAAATAAATGGTATGTAATTATATTTGGAATTGAAAATTTAAAAAATAATTATTGAAATTAAATGGGATGCCTAATCTTCTATCATATTAATAAAGTTATAAACACTGAATTGTTCAATTTTTATAACAATGTATTTTATGTTTTTCAGTTTTTATAGCAAAGTGTTTATTGTTTTTATCTCATTTTCAACCATTATGATTGACCAATATTAATCATTAACCATAATCATTAACCGAAAAAAACCGTTAACCAAAACCAATATTAACCAATACCCAATGGTTACCAAAATACATTAACCACTTATAATGGTTATGGTTCGATTTTAGCTAAAAACCGAACCACACCGCGCCACCCCTACAATTTATAAATCAAAATGGCAATAGAAACAGAAACAAATCACAAATTTAAAATTTTAATTCCCAAAAGCCATAAATCTAATTAGATCCAAGAGCACACAAACATAGGGTGTTTACCACCTCAATATCTAAAGACTAGTTATCAAATGTAAAGAGCTTCTAAGGCTGAGCAATACATGGCACGAACATACAACTCCTAGACTTCTAAGGCTAATCAACATTAAGGTGCTGTTTGTTTTTTCGAAGCGAAAATTCATGAAGTCTGCGGACCACCTCTGCAATCCTCTGCTGCAGAAGAGGTGGAACAAACGGCTGCAGCCCATAATAAGAAGCATGTTTGTTTTTTAACATCTGCAGACTGCTACAGTAAACTGAAATTTAAATAAACTAATTTTATAAACTTAAATTAGTTCTCAACACCGAAATTTTAATAATTCTAGTCTTAAAACATTGAAAGAGTACTAAAAATAACATGTAAAAAAACAAAAATATATAACTTTTTTTAAAAAAAAACTTACAAAAATATAAAAGAAACTAACAGCTTTATTCTAGAAAAAAAAACTAATTTTAAAAAACATAAAAAAGAAAATAATAAAAAAAATTAAGAAAAGTATTGCAAACGATGTATACAAAGTTCGTAAAAAATTACACACGTTAAAAAAGATGAAACTGAAACTGAAACTGAAAATATTATTAACGGAAACGTTAAAAAAATTAAAAAAATCAAAGCTTTTTTTTTTTTTTTTAAATTAAGTTAAAAAAAATTTGTGGAAACTATAATAAGAAATTGTATCAAATCCGTAAATAAAAGCTTTTTTTTAAATGTTTAAAAAAAATAAGTTATACCAAAATTCTAAAAAAAACTTCAAAAAATTGAAAGCTGAAGAGGTTTGAAGAGGCAAGTCAAGTGCTGCGCCACGCAGCACACGCACAGAAGTTTTGCAGTCTGAAGTCTTCCAAAAAACAAACTGCTGTGAGAAGGAAAGTGTTGCGCGTATGCTACGCCGCGCAGCAGAAAATGGTTTGAAGAGTTTTTTCTAAAAAAACAAACAGCACCTAAATTTCTTCCTTCTTCCTTGCCTTTGACATCAACACGGAAAAAGAAGGGGAGCAAGTTGAGCCGAGGCCTAAAAGGCATGGGGGAGCCAATTAAGGATTTTTTTTTTTTTTTTTTCAAATGAATATTGTGACCATTAAAAATCCAGCACACATGTAGGGTTTCTATCTTTTGTTTTTTCTTGTTTAAGTAATTTTAGAGTAACATTAATAAAACAAATTACAAACAAAAATAACTTATCTATTACATGATAAATGCAAATCGATCGTCAAAACATACAACACAAACCAATAACATGCGAGAGGTCTGTAGTTCAAATCTCTGACACTTTCAAAATATTATTAGTGTTTCGCGATTAACCTTTCATATGAAGCTTGGGACGGGTTGATATGAGCAACTCAGATGATGTGATTTACCATTTATTTAGTTATTAACCCCTTCATTAGTTAAATAACTTTTAATTAAATAAACTATTTTATTTAGTTTGATAAATCAACTCTTTTATTTAGTAGTTTCACTTTATATCAATAAATAATAACCAAATATTATTTACTTATTTTTTTAGTTGTTAATAATAAACTTATCCATTATTTATTTTATTCGATTATAATATTTTTCAGTGTGTGACATCATAGGCTCATTTATAATTAAAAGTACAATACATTTCTTGTTTGTGGCACGTTATTTATCAACACTACCTTGAACAATAGGTGTTGTTGCTTGTAAATGATGAGTTAGTAAAGAATGATATATTATTACAAGAATGTAAGAACCAAATGGAAGCCATACAGATCATAGAGAAATTCAAGGAATACCTTATACAACACTTTCTATAGTCACTAATAATAACGTATTGAGCCTAAGAAAAAGAATAATAATAAACTTTTTGACGAAAGAACTAATAATATAAACTTGTTCTTCTTACAAGCAAAAGAACTACATAGATAAAAAAGAACTAATAATAATAATAATAATAAAATATGGACGAAAATGTATATGCATGCACTGCCCCTCAACAAACGAAAACACATTTTCCATAGGCGTTTACATTGAATAATATGTACTCTTACCACCCCTACGCTTTATGTCAATTAATCCAATATTCTCCAAACAACTTTTCAATTTCGAAGAGATCATTTAACTTAATCCGAGAACTCTTTCAGATACTAATTACTATCATATCAATTGTTAATCCTATACTTATCGGTCAAGTTTTAGTTGTTGTGCTCAGTGTTTCAGCTCATGTTAGCAAGTCTTGGTGAAAGGTGCACACGAGGACTTGGTCGTGGGGAAGGAATTGGACAATTGCTAGAAAACATTGAACAAACTTTTCTTGGTGACAGATTGACTTGTTCAAGTGCTTGAAATTGTAGTTTTGTTGGGTATTCTCTTACACACCCGATCCTCGGACCTACCCCCGATGTCCATTTTGGGGATTTGACGTTTCTTTGTTCTTGTAATCCCATTTTCTCGCAACGATATTTGGCATTTTCATTTAAAGGTTGGATTTTTACTGGTGGATTTCCACGTGTTTTATTAGACTTGGACTTCTCTTTGCATGTAACATTGAGAAATGGATCATCGTCATCTAGAGGACATTTCTACATAGTATAATATATTAAGGGTTAAATACAAGAAATATCAAAATATAAACTCATTAATTTGTTTATTATAGTTTCTTGTTTTCATTTCATTCCATTACAATATTTTGAAAAATCTATCCATTTATAATAATGTTATGGAAAACAACAATTTTTGCTACTATAATTAAAGGAAAAAAAAAATTGGAAGTATAAAGTTATAATTATATATTGAAATAATTTTTTAGTAAAATGTATTAGAATGAAAAATATATTGAAAATACAATGTTGCAATGTAGTGAAATAAACGTAAATTAATTTACAAAAATCATGTAATAAACTCAATTTTTATGTAATAATCAGTTCAAATACCTTGACATTAGTCAAATCCACTTGATGTTGTTCAAGAAAACAAATGAACTCCTTGAAGTTTTCTTCCGTTGGGTGATAATGACCACTGTAGGGCCATATAGCCTATATATCAAAATAGGACGTATGATAAAAGATTAGTTGATAATGACATAATGTGTTTTCGGTTACAATTTTTGCATGGCATACATACCTCAAGGACTCCATCATGAACAACCATCCTCCCGGCAGCAGTAGTGGCTCCTCCGGCTAGAAAACTAGAATGTTGAAATCGACCCTTTTCCTTTTGACCAACGTACAATATTCTTGATGTACTAAGTACAAAGATCCATTTAGTTCCATCGATGGTTTTCACTAATCTTCGGTTTTGTTTGTACATCAACTTCCCGTTTTCGATAATCACTTGGTACTCTTCCCTCTCTTTCTACATTCATAATATCGATCATGATATCAAGCTTGTTTTTTCTAACATAAAATGATGATAATGATGATTAATGAGTCTTACAGGTCCAAGATATTTTATGCATTGATAATGTAATACGTTTCTGGGACATCTTTCTACAATTACTTCTTTACCATCTCCAACATCCAACCTGAAAAGCAGCATAAACAAATGCATGGTTGGAGTCTGGTTTTCATGATATGGACATCACTTAATTAAAACTAATAAAAAATGGTAGAAAATGATTACCAATAAAAGAAAGGTTGTGAGCTTTGGCTAGTAAACCAAACCTTGTAGTATAACTGCAAATTGTGACCATAACGATGGCGTGGATCAATCTACAAAAAATCATAATTCTTTATCATGCAAACTTGGAGTAAGGTTGCATTTTAGGGTGTTACTATTGATCATACACCCCTTACTAGTCGCAGACCTCGTAGATTTGACAAAAACTTTAAATCACGGGGTGTACAATAAGTAATTATATAGAGGGTGCACGTTTTATAAAATAAATATTAAAAAATTAAGATATATAGGGTTGCATATATATTTAGTAACGAGGTTGTATGGATAGAATCACTCTTATACTTACTGCTTCGAGCCAGTGACAAATGGCTAGTTTTTGAGCATTTTTGTCTTTAGACAGGCCTTTCCCGACCTAGAATAAAAAACATTCGATCAAATTTATGACTGAAATTTTTATAAGTTAAAGCTAAATTAAAAAGGATATATATATATATATATATATATATATATATATATATATATATATATATATATATATATATATATATATATATATATATATATATATATATAATTCAATCCTTTTAATCAGTCAATTGGTCAATGTTCAAATTCATTAACTTCAATTGCTTTGAAGACATGTAGTCATGGTCATGCATTCAAGAACTTGTCAAATTTTCATTATTTTGAATCAAACTACCAATCTTATTTTTATGGAAAGTTATTTAAAAAAAGCATAAGCGTTTGATAGCTAGCTTCCATCATATATCAATCTAAAAAGATATGACTAGGTCTTCCATAAAAAACAAAATCTTATTACAGAATTGCACCTTTGCAACTCTGGTACGAGCTCGGCCCCATCGCGAGACTGCGCTCTCGGGCTTGTTGTTGCAGAAAAACGACACGGAACTCCGCTTTAAAGCTGCAAAGTCCAAAGCTTTCCACCTATGTGCAACATTTAAAAGATCTTAAACTTTGGATATTTATATGAAAAGATTTCAAAATACATTAAGATAGATTTTGAACATTTTCATAAGATAACATAAACAGGTAGGTAAAAGAAGATTTTTAGAGCCATCGAACGTGTCACAATTAAATGATGAGATTTTAAGCTTGTTTTGCGATAAATTGTTGCTAAATATCACGCCCATTAAAAAACGTAATCTATTAAACATTTTTCGTTTTAACAAAGAAGAGATAACATAGCAAGTAATCAACAAACCATAATTCTTCAACGACAACAGCACAATCTGCAAGGTTGCGTCGAGTTCTATAGCTCTTGTAGAATTTCTGAATCCTAAGAGCTGCTGCATTGAGCTCACTAACGGGCCTTGCCGACGAAAAAACCACAGGACTCGGATGACTAACAAACTCACAGAAGCCATTGCCATAGGCTCTGTACAAGTTTTCTTGATCAAGAACAAGATTTTTTAAAGTGCAGCTAGTCGACAATGGCGTTTTCTTCTCTGGTTCAGTAGAACTAACCTTTTTGAAACCAAACAGTCTGCCTTCACGAACCCTTTTCAAGACCCAGAAAATAAATAAGAACATAAATCTCGTGAAGGGTAAAATCGCAAAAAACCAGCAGCAGAAGAAGGTTGACATGGGCGTAGGATGATTTGGTTGGTCGGTTTGAAGGGAGTATTTATAGGTGTGCGAACGAAGAGTAACATGTGGAAAGAGATGCAACCGTCAAAGACGTAGTACGTGAAATTGATTGTTCGAAATAGTGTGGTATTGGGAATAAAGGGAGCGCGTTGTCCCCATGATATGGGTTATTTGTCAACGTCTGGTCCTTTAACCTACGGGGTACGTACCTATCGTGGAAACCGAATTACTCATGCAAGACTTTAAATCGTTGGTCAACCAAATGGATCTAACCCTATACTTGGAAGTGGAAATCTGCATGGTGTTCGAAGTATAGTATGTTGGAATCCTAAGTCGATAAGGAGTTGGAGACCAATCAATCTAATTTATAGCAAGTTGGTCATAAGTTTCCTAGTCTAATACAACTTGGTTTGTTACGCTATATATAAATGTCCATAATCGAGTTTATGATTATGAGAATAGATTGTAAAATATCGGTTTTGAATTAGTTCCCGATTAATCAAAGAGTTATTTTTGTTATTTTTGTTTTGCATTCTTGTTTTCTAAACTTTAATTGGTATCACAGCTTGAGTTAAGAAGCTGTGAGATCGAGTTGTTTACCTATTGACGAGCTAGGTCAATATGTCAGACGTAGAAGATGGTGCAGGGCCTCCTCCGGTGAATGTGAAGGAAGTTGGATCCACCACAGTTGCCTCTCACATGTTATCATCGACCAACTATACCGTTTGGGCTCTACAAATGAATGTAGTTCTCATAATCCATAAGGCCTGGACTGTAATTGATCCGGGAACAGAAAAGAATGAAGAGAAAGATTACCTTGCAATAGGATTGTTGTATCAGGCAATCCCGGAAAATCTAATCATGCAGATCGGAGATGTGGAATCTGCCAAAGGACTATGGGAAGCGATTAAGGCAATATATGTAGGTCCTGATCGTGTGAAAGAGGGCCGATTGCAAACCCTAAACGCCGAATTCGATCAGCTGAAGATGCTGGAGTCGGAATCAATCGATAGCTATGTCGGAAAGCCATCCGGAATCGCGTCCAAATTGGTGGCACTCGGTGAGACGATTGAGGAATCGAAGTTGGTAAAGAAATTCCTCAAAACTGTTCCTAGGTCGAAATTCATCCAAATCGTTGCCTCCCTTGAGCAAGTCTTGGACTTGAAGACGGTGGGATTTGAAGATGTCGTCGGAAGGCTCAAAGCTTACGAAGAGAGAATTAGGGAGGAAGATATCAGTGTGGCAGATCAGTCGAAGGTATTGTTTGCAAAGAAATCGACTGGTTCTCACAATGGATCGAAAGGAACGAGTAGATCGAATGGGTCTAATAATCCGAATGGGTTTAATGGGACTGACGGGTTAAGTGGATCTGGATCAGGTGGGTTATCTGGGTCAGGCGGGCCGAAAGGGAATAATATGGTTTCTTAAAGTAATCGCCCCAATAAATAGTCCAATTGTGATTTAACTCAACCCAATTCCAACAATTACAAAAATTGTAATTGCTGTTGTCACAAAAATCAGAAAAATAGGGAAAAAAAACCGATCTAAGGTGATTTGTTTTCGGTGTGACAAACCGGGTCACTTTGCCTCTGAATGTCCGGAACGACTCCAAAAATTACAAGAAGGTGATTTTTCGGAATGTGACGACAACGACGAGCCCGTATTTTAAATACAGATCGGGTTGAAGAATTCTTTAGAAGGACTTAGAGATTCGGGGGTGATTGTTGTAATCCTAAGTCGATGAGGACTTGGAGACCAAGCAATCTAATTTATGGCAAGTCTAGTTTATGGCAAGTTGGTCATAAGTTTCATAGTCTAATACAAGTTGGTTTGTTAGGCTATATATACATGTCCATAATCGAGTTTATGATTATGAGAATAGATTGTAAAATATCGGTTTTGAGTTAGTTCCCGATTAATCAAAGAGTTATTTTGGTTATTTTTGTTTTGCATTCTTGTTTTCTAAACTTTATAGTATACTAACATCAATTATTAACATAGTAATAACACTATGATCACTTTCTTTCTCTCTAAGGAGAAAACATGGAAAGAATCAACTTTTATATTTATCTTTTTATCTTAAGAACATGAATAGAATAAACATTACAATGAATAAAAATGTTAGTGAGCACAATTTCCCATCAAATGTGTCACACCCCCAAACCAGAACGGCGGAAACGTTCGGGGGCGGAGGACGTCATGTAAGTATCACAACACACGCAATATAGTAATCAAAGTACAAACAACCATTGCATTAATAAGTATAAGTTTTACATAAGTGTTTAAAAATTACATATTCAAACATCAAAGTAGATACAGTAGAAAACAAGAGTCGCAGTACGGTACTAGGTAGTCTTCTCAAAAGCTTCGGGAGTGTACCTGTGTACTGGATTCCTGAGAATACAAGTTATTTGGAAAGAGTAGATCAGCATTTAAGCTGGTGAGTTCATAAGTATTTTAGTTCTGTTAAGTATACTCTAAGTTCTTTGGAAAAGTTCACTGGTTTCTCCAGAAAATACTATATTTCCTGAGGTGATAGATTGATAACCTCAATAGTTTTCCTCTGTAATTACTTAGTTTATACTAATTATATATAACCCAATATCGAATGGACAGTTAAATGGGTGTATCTGCCCTAAGCCCACAACCAAACAAGGAACAGGAAGTAAGGCGGAAGTCACACATTTCACTGTCAATCGGATATTACTTATGTATAAATCTGATGTAAAAACTAAGGAATTATAGAATTAACCACTAAAGGTCCTTAATGTTATACTAGTTTATAGAAGGTGAATGACTAAGTTCTCATTTGTAAAAGTGGTTTAATCCCATAAACCGTTTCATTTGTAAAAGTGGTTTAATCCCATAAACCGTTTCCTTTGTAAAAGTGGTTTAATCCCATAAATTGTTTCCTTTGTAAGAGTAGTTTAATTCCATAAACTGTTTCATTTGTAAAAGTGTTCTTAGTTATATCCGTTTTACAGTAAAACCTTAGTATTAATCCTGGAAAATATTATATTATCCATAATACTGCCTTGTGGTTTTAAATGTTCAAAACCAGAAGTACAAGTATATTTACCATACTTGATTTCATGATACGTAGTTTTTACTGTAAGTAAAAACTAACAGAAGGTATATTTGGTTAGGATGTAATTATCTTTTCTTACTGTTTTAAGAGAAGTATATTACTTAGTAATTTACTCGTTGTTTTATCCATGTGAGTTCTATTAACCATACTAATATGACTGATATGTCCGCTGCAACGTTCTTCAGGCGTCGGAAATGATATGATATTTGACACCCTAGGCCTGCTGGCCAAACTGTAGCGAACAGCAAAGGTGCGGGATTATTAGTCCCATAGAGATCTATACACAAATTCACGCTCTCCCTACAAGAGATTCTGGTTAATAAGTCAGGACTTAAGGTCGTACTTAGATAAATACACCATGAAGAGTCTTACAAACTTATTGTTTCAACGAGCTTTACGATGTATTATTACCCCGTGATTGCTAACCCTGGTACTCTGTATTGTACCTTTGTTAATGCAAACCCGGTATGATGTATTATTACCCCGTGTTTGCTAACCCTGGTATGTTGTATTTGTACCTTTGTTAATGCAAACCCGGTATGATGTATTATTACCCCGTGATTGCTAACCCTGGTACGTTGTATTTGTACCTTTGTTAATGCAATCCAGGTATGATGTATTATTACTTCTTTAATATGTTGTTCGTATATTAAAGGTATTATACATATCCTGGTATAGTTAAATGAATTTTGGTACTTTCCTTGGAATGTGAATCATACTTGTATATTTTGTTTTGAATCATAAATTATACCTATTATAATTTATATGTTTTATCTGATTAACACGATTTCTCATGGATGAACACCTTTTACTCAGCATGATACAAAGGTAATGATACCGAATGGAGTAACCTTTTATATTCATATATGTTTAATATATATATATATATATATATATATATATATATATATATATATAATTAAGATGGAAACGACGTTCGGACAAATAACATCACCTTAATTCCACATCCAAACAAGGAAAAGGAATAAGATAATTCATTAGTCCTAAGCCCTTCAAATCTTATTTATATATTTATACATATATAAACCTGATTTTGGCAATTATAATTTGAAATAGTTTATAAAACCTTTTTCAAAGAGTTTAACGGAGTTTACATGACTTTAAAGATTTAACATGGCTTTAAGTCATTTTGGAAGTATTTGGTAATTCTTAAAAGCATACGGAAACCCTTTGTGTGATTATTATCACATACAGTTAAATACACAATTTATTATTGCGTTAAACTTGTATTCCCCCCCCCCCCTAAAAAGCATTTAAAAACCATTAAAAAGGTAAATTATAGGGGTATGAACTCACTTTGATAAGTGGTGATTCGGGCAGCGTTTCGTTTCTATAGATGATCTTTCTCGAAGAAACCGCGAGTTTTTGAGTAAAAACCGGGCTTTATGCGGGCAACACTTCGACTGGAAAGAGGTTACCTTCTCGAGAATTCCGGGGCTCCGGGGCTTGCTTCGGGTTTTAGACATGATACCGGGGCCTTGGGGGTTGTTTGTGAAGTTATGGAAGTGAAAGGGGTGAAAAAGGAGAAAAAATGGTGTAAAAAGGGGTTAAGAACCGGAGGGTCTCGCATGCCTTATATAGGCCGAAGCCTCGGATCTGAGGCTATGCGAGGCTGTGCGAGGCTGCCACGTGTTCGGACAGGTGGCGAAGGAAGGAGTCAGGAGCACACGCGTCGGTCATGCGAAGGGTACACGGGGAGAGGCTTCGGACGTGGTGGCTTCTGAGTGGGCCAAACTTCGGTCCAATGGGAGGAGGGCATGTGTCCGAGGGGGTGTCCGAGGGGTGTCCGGGGGGTGTCTCATGCGAAGGTGTCGGCTGCTTTCATCAGAAAAGT